AGAAAAAAAAAAAGAATGATGTGTGGCTTTTAACTATTATGGGATTAGCTTAATTCTTTCACTTCTTATCTAGTTCGTGTGCTGGATGTGATAGACTGAGCTTTAATTCATGATTTACATTCTAATTCCATCTTCTAAAGTTACTCTCTTGAAAGTAAATGGATTTCATCAAGCCTAAGTGCCCTAATACAGATAACAGAGAGATTAATATTTCCTTTACAATATATTGTGAAAATCAAATATGATTTTGTACAACATTTGACACATTTTTTAAACTTCTACTTTCCATTTTTTTTCCTGATTAATTTGTATGTTTTCATGGCTGATATTTAGCTGGAATATACCAATGTAGAAGTATGTTCAGTATATTTATGCCTGGCATCATTTGGTTATTTAGTGCCTTTGACAAGATTGTATGTGTACCATTATTGCTATTAAATATTCTCAATATCACTCTTCTATATTTATTTGATTTATTCATAGGAAGTGAAAAGCTATCTATATATGACTTATGGCTTATACATGGAGAATAGAAGTGAAGAGGGACAAGTTGGAAAAATGGAGAATACTGATTTTTTTTTTTTTAGTAGACATATATATGAGCTCAAATAATCATCTACCAATGTAAAAGTAGTTTATGTTGATGGCAGACATATGAACAACATTGTCTCCAAAGACTTTTTTTTAAGTTTATTATTTATTTTGAGGGGGTGGGGGAGTGTGCTTGTATGTGTGAAAAAGTAAGGGGCAGAAAGAGAGGGAGAGAAGAGAATCCCAAACAGGCTCCACACAGTCAGTGCAGAGCCCCACATGAGGCTTGATTCCATGAACTATGAGATCATGACCTGAACTGAAATTGAGCTGGAGCTTAACTGAACGAGCTACCCAGGTGCAATACCAAAGTCTTTTTTGAGACTAAAATTTTGCAAACTCCTGTCTCAGCATAGACTGTTCTTTATGTACTAAATTTAAGACTGATATAGCATTCTAGGTAAGAAGAAAGAGAAACACAAATGAGACACTTCATGTTATTTGATCTCATTAAGAACTTTAAGGTCTAAAGAAAAAAGATGTATTTTATATGTTTGAAAATGAAATTCCAATCGTTATTAAATTATAAATATCTTCAATGAGGTAGGGTCAGGAATGAACATACACATCCAATATTCATTGTGGACATAGAAACATCGCTTGTTTAGGAACATAGCCACGGGAATGTCTGCTGGCTCAGTTGGTTGAGTGTTGACTCTGGATTTCAACTCAGGTCATGATCTCACAGTTTCTAGGTTAAGCCCCACATCGGGCTCTGTGCTGACAATATGGTGCCTGCTTGACTTCTCTCTCTCCCTCTGTCTCTGCCCCTTCCCTGCTTGCACTCTCTCTTTCTCTCTCAAAAAAAAAAGGAGATAAAACTTTAAAAAAAATGTAGCCATGGATATATCTATGCACATACTCCTTGCCTTTGCTATACAATACACACACACATACTCACACACACAGCTCTGATAAAATACACAAAATGTATTGGTAGTGAAAACTGAAACAGTACTAGATAATTAAAAAAGAAAAAAAATAATGTTCCTTGCTCTTAGAAAAACAAGATTTTCCCTAATGTCTTTGTATATGCTAATATAATTCTTTGGTAAAACCATTCTCCTTTTGTTCTAGTCAATAAAATATATATAATTAAAATTATAAAAAATTGTCTAGATGAAATTGACATGATATCCTACCAAAAAATCATTTCCTATAAGAAGAGTTTCCTGTTTCATTTTGCATTTTTACTAACTACTATTTATGTAAATTTTATTCAAAAAGTAAAGGAAACATAAGTTTTGTTTTTCAATATAAAGTATTTAGCTATCACTTGCTTTGGTAGAAGAAGGAAGGAAGGAAGGAAGGAAGGAAGGAAGGAAGGAAGGAAGGAAGGAAG